CCAACTATTTACGACACTCTTACCCAGACGGTCTCTCTTCAAACGGCGTTAGGGTGTGAGAGACAATAGTCGGACGTCGGTCCCTCCTCTTTAGTCGTCTCGACGGACTCATCATAAATAAGTAGGGCGAAGTTAGAGTAATCAGTACGTATCTTTCACTGTCCAGTGTGAGGGGTAATACGTTTACTCGATTCAGGTCGGAGGGGCTCCACACCACTCTAGAGTCATCCATCACTCAGAGGTTCATCCACACTCTAGGCAGCTATCCTCCCCCAACTACACCATAAGTGTCCACACTTTTTCGGGTGCAACGCGGAATACCACATAGTATTTTTCAAAAGTTAGTGTAATCATACGTATTTTTCACTGTCCCCCGGGCGGGGGGTTCCACCACACACACACACACCACGACACACCACACACACACACACACACACACACACACACACCACCACACACACCACACACACACACACACCACACACACACACACACACGACACACCACACACACAGGTATGAATAGGTCTGGTTTTATACGACTAGTTCGACTAGTCTTTGTGTCTTTCCGACCCTTAGAAAAAAAAAAATAAAACAGTGTTACATGAGTTACTCACCGGGGGTGGTGGTGGTTTCACGGGTAGTGACTAGATCTCGGACGGTTAAGAAGTGTAAGCACACCGTAGTTTTACAAAACCTTGCTTATATATGATCTATGTATATATGATATATATTCATATATATGTATAATATCGATATATATATATATATCTATATAATTATATATATCATATTTATATATATTACATTATATCCTGATTTAGTACTTTCTGATTAAAAGTACTGTAATTTAGTTTTGCCACGTACACCAACACGATGCTCACTTTCCTTCCGACAGGACTCTCTCTGGGAATCTGTAGCAGAGGTGTAGTAGTCAAAAAACAGAGACTTGTAGAACAAGAGGCAGATTAACTGGTTTACTCTCAAAAGTGGCGAGTCACGCGGATTCTGTGTATTCAAGTCTTCGGACTTTCGGGATTGTCTTCATTGAGATGTCCATAAAGTCTGTCTCTATACGCCTAAGCCAGACTAGTCTTGTTTCTTTTTGAAAACGGAGAGATTACAGTTGCAAGGAGGAAAACGATACACGGACACAAGCATCTCAACCCCCTACTGAGGAGTGGGGAGGAAGTAAGAGAGGAGGAGAGAAGAGAGAGAGAGACAAGACGCTACCAGTTTATATGTCTTTATTGCAAAATATATGAATGGAGAGAAAATTTTCCGCTACTTCAAACGTCGCATACGGTCTTGTCACACAAATCAAAAATTCCGAAAACGTATGGAGTTTCACACAGATTTTCTAGAACGTTGTTTTTTTACAAGGATGCCGGTAACAATTTGTTGCTTAACACGATTCTTATTCGAATCTTTCGAGACTACTGAGTCCACCTTGTGACAATCTCCAGTTTCACTGAGAGTTCACATAAGGTCTGTCTCATACGTCTACCCCAGACTAGTCTTGTTTCTTCGTGGAAGGGCAGTTTCCATCAGTGTGTGGGAAAGATAGTTGGAATGAGCAGGATACCGACAGTGCGGGAAACCACAGCACACACAACACCCGCACACGCGACGACACACCACACACGACACAACACACACACACACCACACACTCGGACCGGACGGGGAGGAGGGGGAAGTACGGTAGAATAGTGGTTGTCGCTCCCGCCTACCAGAGCAGAGTTTTGTTTCACAGGATTTCCACAGACGGTAGAGAGAGGAGAGCAAAGCACGACTACAACAGTTTATATAGTTTTATTGCAAAATATATGAGGGAGTGAACAAGTTTTCCACTACTTCAAACGTCGCATGTTCGGTCGGTAGTCACAAAGATCAAAATTTGCCAAACGTATGGGAGTTTCACACAGATTTTCATAGAACCGTTCTCTTTGTGGTGGGTTCTTAGGTAGATCCGTAATTTTTCTGGCTTAAGGTGCAAAATTGTTTATTGTCTGTGCAATATCAAGCCACACTTAATGTTTTTACTTCGGCTGTGAGTTTGTGTGTGCTCAGGATGAGTTTGGCTGTGTTTCGCTGTGTATCGCTAAACAAGGAAACAACACCTCCACGGAGCTCAGCGTGATTCACAACATCCCGACCAATCAGAGCACACTGTGCTCACAGGGAGAGTGGGGTCTGGAGCTATTGGAGCTATTGGAGCTACAACGAGTCGTTAAAGGCAGAGAGTGAAATTCAGTGAATACACGTAGTTTACAGAGATGCTGTATGAAAAACCAATGTGAGTTTGGAAAATTGCACAATATAAATCTATTCTAGTAGACCTCAACAATGGAATTATGATCAGTGGAAATGGCCATGACATGTCTCCTTTAAGTCGTTGTAATTGTTTTTGAAGAAATATTCTGGTATGTCATACTCGTGTTGCCTCCGGCCGGGGTGACTGACTCGGCATCCATTGGAGATTTCTTCTCTGTACCGATGCATCACCCTCTCCAGAATATCAACCAACACAGATTTCACTGTGTCCAAAAACAGAGACGTCTTGGCCCAAGGAGTAACATCAGCAGCAGTAGTACTGCAAGATTTGGGTGTCCAAAATGGTGGTGATGATGGTAGTCCAGGGGCTTGTTCCTGGCTGCAACTCGCGGGGGAAGACTTGGTTTTTCTCAAATCCATGGCTAGTTTTCAACGGTCGTCTTAGTGGGATCCTTCGTTTTAGATGATTTGCTGAGTGGGGTGGGCCTTATTGCGTTGAGTGGGGGGAGTCATCTGTAGAATTGAGAGTTTTTTTCACCAGTATAATGTCCCTCTCTGTTTGACTCTTTTTAAAAAGTTCTTTTTCATCTATCATTTTCAACCAAGCAGCAAGAGGTCAAATTTAAGAATAAGTAATAGTTTGTCATGATTTTACAGGGAAAAGTCAGAGCGCGATGTCACATCTTAAAGACAGCTTGAACTGGATTAATGGTTAGTCTTTTTCAAACATACCATACGTTCTGCATGTTAGTATATTTGGCCAATCAATAGGGAAGTCACGCTTTGGGAAGAGGTGTTTCATTTCACAGATCCACCTTGATTGTTGTTGTGATGGTTGAAGGAAGAGGTACGGGGGAGGAAAATTCAGAGGATGAAGAAGCAGAAAAATAACTTGTTTGTAGAACGCACAGCACGTCAGTTTCAAGAAAGATGACACAGTTTTTATGTATGACATGCAACATATCTTGAAGCCCTACAAAAAAAAGGTACAAGTATATTGTGTTGAAAATATCGCAAGAAGTCGTAATATTGTATAATGTATTAGTTGTATTTTGATAAAAATCACTTTGTAGTTTTTCAAAAATATAATGGATAAAGGAGAAAAAAAAAATATATATATCACAGTATGTTGAAAAATATGATAAAAGTAATGTTATGTTAAAATAACATGAAATAAATCAAAGTAAAGCATCTAAAAACATACATTTAAAAAAAGTAATGTTAGTCAAGTCAAGTTATCAAAACTGCATTGTTTAATCGAAACAGTGTTAAAATCACAAACTTTCCATTTAGAGTTTGATTCTTTAACCTCTGAAGCACTGAGCCTGTTTTTCAGGTTTCAGGCTCCAAAATGCCACTAACACAGCAAAGACTATATCTTCACTTCTAAAAGGGGTAAATTAATAATCTTTTCTCTCAAAGCAAGGTTACATCTGTGAGTTGGATGTAGAAGTTTCAGAATCAATCTAGATGTTTTTATTTTAAAGTAAATTCAGATGGAACATAGTAAAAACATGTAAATTATAATGTCCGCCTAAAGAAAACCCATTACTTATAGTGAAAACCACCCTTGAATGATGGGTTAGTAGACTCACCGTACGCAGTACCGGCACGCAGTACCGGCACTTCTGGTATATTTATTTGTTTGTGTCTCTCTGGCATCTTTCATTACTGAGTACCGGCAAGGTGTCCGGTACTCATGTATATGTCCGGTATCTCTATCTCTGTCTGTGTCTAATTATACGTATATATTGTTTATATATCTCTATATATGTGTCTGCTATATATGTGTGTTCTGTCTCTGCTTTCTCTATCTGATGTGTATCCTGCTCTACTATATATCTGTTGTTTTCTCTGTCCTGACATTTCCACTTTCTATCTGATCATTACTAATGCCCTCCATTTTTTGTTCTTCTGTGTGTCATCAATGTCTCTGTGTCGTGTTGTGGGTTGTGTGTCTTGTCTGTATGTCGGAGCGAGAAATGCGCGCTGCACCTGTCTTGTATGTTGTTGTCTATCTGTGTGCTATGCTAGCTGCTGCTAATCTGTATGTGTGTTCTATGGTGGAGGAAGTCCTTGCTGTCAGACTGGAGAGGCTGATATTTATCTACAGCCTCTGGGTGTATTTTTGTGGTAATTACTCTCTGATCTTTTAGATAGTTAACTAGTTTAAAGTTACTCATGTGTGGTCTCAAACCGCGTTCGGTTCTTACCTGGTATCTACATTTCATTGTGTGTGTAGGCTATGTATTATATATGCATGATATAATACATAACAAAGAATGTTAACTATATGTGTATATGTGTATATAAATGTATCTGTGGGAAATCTTAGTCTTTGCTGTTGCCTTCTATGTTGTGATCAGGTGGGGAGAGTAGATGGAGACAGGATGAGGCCTGATCAGGATGCCCAGATGCTTACTACTCACCTATATCTTATATATGTAATCTAAAAACAATGTTCAATGTTTTCATATTGGATTGTTTGGTTTATTGGCCATTGTATTATGTTTTTGATTATTTATAATGTATTATCATTTGTCAATGGGTGTCAGTCTCTTATTCCCCTTTCTATATGCACCTGTATGATGCATTTAAGTCCAACATTAAAAACCTATCTGTGGGTGATGTCTTATGCCCCCTGTGTATCTCTTCTTGTTTTCTCTCTTATTAGTGGTATTGATGGCCCGTCTCCCACTGTCTTTAGATTTTGCAATTTTTTTTTATGTAGTAAACGCCATTCTCCATATTGTTCTGTTTTGGTAGTATGTATAAATTCAGGCTATCCACTTGTTTGTCTCTATGTATTTTTTGTCTATATATAATTCCATGTCGAAATATGGGCATCAATAATATGGTATGTGGGCCTCTAGGGATCGTAGGTAGTCATTTAAATCCATGCCATAGGAGTCAAGCTTTACTTCTTTTACATCCATAAAGATAAAATTTAATATCTTTGTTTATCAGTGCTTTCATTATGGATGTGAGATAGGTTTTTCCATTATATCTTTCCTTATTTTGCTTCTCAAAGTGGCACCAGATTTGAATGCATCTTTAACTTCAATATTTAAAAAAAAAAATTCCCGGGGGAGCATGCCCCCGGACCCTCCCTAGCTAGAGGGTGTCAGGTCCACTCTTCCCACTTATAAAAATAGCACTTACCCATCTGCACCCCCTCTAATCTCAGATTGCACCCTGATCATGTTGTTTTAAGTACATTTGAGCCTTCTAATATAGTGACAGTGAAAGGACAGAACCAGCCAGCTGATATAATATACTATGACTTTGGCCAAATACTGTTGCTGAGTTTAGTATACGGCACCTTTTTTATTCGTAATTATTTTTTTACTTTATAGTAAAAACTACCCTTGGTTGATGGTATGGTAGACTAAAAGCTTTAGGAATCCAAAGTACAACATATAATAAGTACCCTGTATCAAGATTGATGCAAAACAAGTGAAATTTGATCTTTTTAGATAGGTTTAGAAAAATAAAGTCCAGGCGGACTCACCTCTGGATAATTTCGGAACCATCGGTTCCATTTGACCTTTTTCACTGTAAAAATAATTGTATTACTTTGAATTATCACTATAGGTATTCATTCCATCCAAATACAACTGTTGTGAAAAAAAAAACAAAAAAAAAAAAACATACTCTCTTATCCTCTTAGGCCCCACAATGCTAACAGTGAGCCTCTGGATTAGCCCAGAGCGAAAAATGCTAACCTATTATGCACCGGAAATCACTCCTAGCTCCCTTATTACTTATCCCAGCTGCACATCCAACACATCGTTTATGATCGTAAAGACACAGAATCTAACGGTGCCCACCTCAACACTGAAAGATACAGACTTGCAACGTTATCAACAAAAACGTAAATCAAAAGAAGTGGCGCTAGGTAGCTACACAATGCTAACATGGCTTACCTTTGTCTTTGTCTGGTCTAAACTGGTCTTCAATGGCATTAAAACGATAACAACGATGATGTAGTTAATCCATAGGTTAATATCCAATGTGGCTGTGTCCCCTTTGAAATGTTCTGATAATCTATAAGCAATAAAACTGCAATTCCGTTATCTGCTGTCCGCTCTGTGCTCCGTGCGCTCTGGGTCCTGCAATTCCTGCTTCCTTACGTAGTAAAGAATAAGTAAAGTCTGCTGCGTAAAGTACTTACGCCTGGCTGGCATTCTTCATACTTTACGCAGGACCATATCTCTGGAACCCATTGGTCGATTTGGGTGATTTACACCTTTTTCTTAACCAAAACATCCAATAGAATCGAGGGGCATTTACCAAATCCACGTAAACATTTGGTAATGTTTACGTGGATTTGGTAAATGCCCCTCGATTCTATTGGATGTTTTGGTTAAGAAAAAGGTGTAAATCACCCAAATCGACCAATGGGTTCCAGAGATNGAACCTGTGGGCTCATGTGCGCCCCCTTCAGTGCGGCAGAGGTTATGGCTGCCTCAGGTGCTTTTTTCATTGCCGTTATATGATGAGACCAGCGAGCCTAAATATCATATATACGTTAAATAAGTTATTTAGAGACTATGGATGGCGAGAATACATTTAATAAAAGGATCTACAAACAATACATTGGTGACCTACAGTGAGATGGTAACAGGCATGCGCTTAGTGCCCGCTTTCCAGCCAGTTTCTGTGGGGTGACGCATTCTGAGGTGAGGCAGAGCTCATCTGTGCCTCACCTCACCCCACAGTAACTGGCTTGAGCGCGCTCACAAAATAAGTGCCCGCGCTAAATTAGTGCCGGTGCTCCAGCAAGTTACTGTGGGCTTATACGAGAGGCAGAGCTCGTCCCTGCCTCACTTCTCATCGCTACCCGTAGTTGTAGCGGAGCTCGGCAAATTTGCTGATTTTGACTTTAAAAAGCGATTGGAATCATACATTAATCACACTTACATCATAGATCAGTGGAGACATTTTATTATTATTACTATTTCGTTTTTCTTTAGTTGTTTTTCCGTTACATTGGAGTATGACAGGTGAGGCTCTGCCTCCCCTGACTGCACGTCGCTACCGTGAAGTCATGTGACCGTGCTGTATTTTCTTTATAGCCCAACATTAGCCTCCTTTAGCTTAGCGGTGGTAACGTGAAGTCATGTGACCGTGCTGTAGAGTCCTGCACGGGTCTGATTTTCAAGACCCGCTCCCGCCCCGCACATATTGCCAATTAGTTCCGCGACCCGACCTGAACCCGCATATATATGAGCAGTGAAAACGTGCAATTATTAACACACGTTGTTGCATTTGTCTCAAAGAGCGTGGGATGTTGGTTATTTTCTCGTAGGAAGACGCAAAAAGCCTCCCAGACGTTGGATTACACTCTTGAGGAAGTTCAAATGCATACATTTCGAATGTGGCGCGCTCAGCAGCAGATTGATGCGCTGCAGAGGTTATGATTATGCGCGGTCCCGCGGGGGAGAGGTCTGAGGATTTAAACATTAAACTGAATTATTATTATTTTAATATATTTATTATGCAACACCCGCGACCTGACCCACATCGTCTTTGTTTTACCCCAGAACCGAACCCGGAAAAAAGCGTTTGAAAAATTACCACCAATTAATCACCTTTTTTCGGTTCAGGACTCTGCCGTGCTGTAGTTCCTTTATAGCTAAATATTTGCTTTTTATTTCAGAAATCATAAAGTAAGTTGTGTTAATATGTGGAGATTGTA